ATTGGGTATCTTCTAGCGTATAGTGGATCTTCACTGTACGCTTCATGACGGTTACGGATGCGCCTGTCGCAAGACGTACCGTCATCCTCGTAGGAGGTGTGTCACATTCACTGAATTTAAAGTGACCATCTTCTAGCGATTGGCGTCGCACAAAATTGTTGGACGCCCCACAATCGACTAGAGCTCGAAGGGACAACTTATTCGTCACTTCGAGTTTCAAGGTAATGAGTGAGATCTCATTACCTAGAGCAGCAACGCACAACGTCTGTGTGTTGGGAGCAACCTTCATCAAGAGGCCTACAAATTCTCTTGACGTTGCTGGATCAGTAGGTGCTCCGCACCTACTGATCCTGTCCGTTTTTGACGGTCCATCCCGTTGTTGCGTCTTTGCACCAACTGCGGACCCTCGTCCCTGCCCCTTTCTCATGGGTGGACGGTCACTACGCCCAGTGTCGCGAGACACTGGACGAGGGGCACTACACTCGTAAGCGTAGTGTCCTGTCTTTTGACATCTGTTGCATCTCTGCAACTTCTTGTAGCCTGTAGAGCGAGCCTTCTCGCTCTCTACATAATAGAGTTCCATCGGCTCTGGACCTCCGTTGTCATATCGTCTCGGTTGACGATATGATGTCGAGCTGGCGCGAGCCTGTCTCAGACTGAAGTCTTCCTGCTCCGCAATTGAAATGGCTTGTTCTAGTGAATCTAGTTCAAGCCGGAACAGGTGAGTCTTGACGGGACCATCCGCAAGACCCTGCATGAACACCGAAACCAACGTGTGTTCATCCACCGGATTGGAACTTATACAACTGGTGAGATGTCGTATATGTTGAGCGTAAGCGTGCACATCACGCTTACCCTGCTTGAGCTTCAAGAGTTCGGTTCGAGCCCTGAACTCAGCTCTAGGCGGTTCAAACGTTTGTCTGAGCCGCGACTTGAAGACTTCCAACGACCCAAACGCATATGGGTCGTGCAGCTTGAGCCCCAGTGCCCAAGTCTTGGCACATCCTGCCAGATTTGACTGGGCAAATGCAACTTGCATATCCCCGTCGTCGATGCGACGCGCCCTTATGGCGTCATCCAATTCGACGAACCATCTCAAGAGAGAGTCTTCTTCGACCCCCCTATACTTTGAGATGTCAATCTTCAAAGTCTCGGGTTGACGCGAGTGCATCGACCCAACAGCTGTAGCCTGCTGCTGTCTCAACAGTTCAAACTGTTGAACACCCTGTTCTCTCAACAACTCTGCTTGTTGAGAACCTTGTTGGTGAAGCAAGGCTACTTTCTCGCGTTCTGCGTCAAGTTCATTTTGAATGAACTTGGCGATAGTAGCATGTTGGGCATCTCTATCGAGAGCCTCTAGCATGACGCTAACAGCATGGATGCCCATGGTTGAACCCATCTGTTCAACCGCATCCCATTCGACATCGCTCAAATGGGAGTAGCCGTCACGCGCAACGTGAAAGCTTTGGTCATCTTCATCATCCAACATATTCATGTTAGATGTAAACGTGGTCCTTGGACGGACTACGAAGTGCTACCAGGTGTAACGGGGCACCCTGAAGCTTGTACTGGTGACAGTACAAGCTACTTATTCTGATAACAGAATAAGGCGGTGCCTCGTAACTTCACGTACACTCGTACGTGCAGAGGAAGACGGTAAGAAGAAGCGAGTACTTGGTTAGAGTAAAAGTAGAACTGTATTTGTAATAGTTAATGTCTGCAATAAATCACTATTTATCTTCATCTAACTATGTCTAAATACAAATGTGTAAATCAGTTATCTGCTCACCACTCATTGCGTGCGTCTGTCGTGGCGCGTCTTCGTTGGTTGATATAATGGCCTATATCAACCAATTAGGAACTACTTGTAAGTGCTACAGAATATTTGTCCTTATGACAATATTCTGAGAATATAACTCTTATAGTTATATTCTATTAACAATTTCTTATAAATTGTTATGTAACGATTCACCCCGTTACAACGCGTATGAAACTTTCTTTTAGTTTATGTACCCTTCGTCTGGATGGTCGCATTCTTTCGAAGACTAAAGTGAAGATGTCGGAATTGAAAGAGGTCGACCTTGGAGGGGGGGGCTCAATTCGATATGCTTAAAATCGTTCGACCAGTAGGTAGTCACTCAATCGACCTGGTGAAGAGTGGTTTTATACTAAAATTCTTCATTGAGCTTGTCACCCATGGTCCTTTTCTTTGTCTATATCAGTGGTATTTACATTTTGGCCTTTAATTGCTCCCGAGCAGCTAGGTGGCGGAGACCCCTTCCAATAGTGGATCTTTGGTGGGTGCCACTTGATACAAATCCACAGGCCAAAACAATTGGGGTTCTGTTAGCACTTAAATCTTACCACGCAACTGTCTTCTACAGGGGGGGGCATGTGCATTCTTCCACAGGACAAGCAAGCAGAATTAACAAGCCCCTTCAAGCATGACGAATTTTTGCCACGACGGTTGCAAATTGATCAGTATTATATCGTTTTATCCTCAAAATTTTTACTCTGCCCTTGCATGTGCCCTACTTTTATGTTTTGGGCGGCCAGGTGCAGGCTGACCTTAAAGGAACAAAGTCCATCGATGAGACAAGGAGGTCTACTAATGCGGTACCGGATCGATGAGAGATCAAGATCCACCGAGGAGGGACCGAGATCCATAGCTAAGAGATAAGTTCCACTGGTGAGGGGTCGCTGTCTACCCTGGAGAACAGAAATCTACTTCAAGGGATCAATATTTCGAATGAGGGGGAGCCTTCGATTTACGTCAGTATTGTTCTACTGGACCCGACAAGTTTATCCCCCGTTGATCTTGCACATCCTGCTCGTCTCAAGGTCGTGTTTTCTCCGTGGTCTCTTTCTTTCTAATACATTCGATTCACTGGACTCTGGGTCAACCACTAATAAAAAGAACCCCACCACGCGTGTATTTAACGAGCATTCCGTCTTTTATACAGTGATGCTAAACGAACGCTTGGTATTTTCTCTCGAATCAAATCGTAAGGCGTGGCATTTCCTATTATAGCCTAGTATCATGACAACTGAGCGGCTTTAAACTACTTCTAGAAGTACTGATTCAGCAGAGATGTTTACTTCCGTCTTTGAAGAGATGCTCAGCTAACGACCTTGGCTACAAACACCTTTTGAAACCCCATTGGTGACGCATTAAACCTCCGTTTTTCATGTCGAAACTGATTTCCGCTCCTAAATCACCACGACATAACAGCTCAAGATAATGGTGGTCACCATTACCTCTTTGTGATAGTTTTTTTCTCGTGTACGTCAGGACGTCTTGTTCCCAGAAAAGTGTTTGGCGAGTGCATGCCACGCGAGACTTGCGGGTAGAGCAATTAGAGTAGGAGGAGGGGATTCTGCCACAGTGATTGAAATAAATGGGTTTGTGAAAGTGTCGGTAATCTGAAAGTACCTAGGGAGGGGTACTTCGACTCAAAAAGGTTCAATGAAGGTTTTGATAAGATGTTCAACGAGATCTTTGACAAATACTTCGATTATCTTCATAAATGACGCTTAGTCAAGCGTCTCCATCTTAGAGATGATAGGAGAAACCTTTTTCTTTTAACCATTGACACTATCATGGAATGAAAGTCATCGCCTATGTTGATCTTGGGTATCCTCACGACGTGGCCAACGCAATTATTGATGCAACCAAAAGACTTTGGCGACGTATCGTTAGTGTTTACTTTCACTCGGTGTGTTCCTTATGTTTTTGTTTCCGTTTCCCTTGAAACGTGCTTGTATCTAAAAAAATCCGCCTTTCGTCTCTTTGAAATTTCAATTCCTTATGTTTTCGTCATCTTTTGCAATCCACCGAAGAGTGAAGCTATTAGTGAGTGTGCGTAAGGTGAATGTTGAACTTTTTAAATTGTACTTTTCTGTCTATAAATAAAGCGGACCAAGTGCAATCTGGCCTTTCCCCTCCCTATAGGTATATCCGAAGTCACTCATTGGCATGGTCACTATTCTGGTGCACGCTTGTGATTGGCAAAAAGTGCTCAAAAGTGAGTACGATCACAAAAGCACATGCTGGACGCTCATAAGCTAAGGTTGATCGCGTTGCCCGAGTATTGTAATAGGGCACATATTTTTTCAGCTAATCGAATAGATCTTGCACTGCTGACAGTGCACGCTTGTGTGTGTCCGACTACCTCACGTACACGTACGTGCAGAGGAAGATTGCAAAGCGGAGTTAGAGTACTTAGTAAAGGCAAAAAGTAGAACTGTATTGAGTATAGTTAATTCTTTTTATAAATACCGATTTTACTTCATTTAACTATGTTTGAATATAGACATGTATTGTAACTATATACGCACCACTCATTGCGTGCTTCTGTCGTGGCTAGACTTTTTAGTTGATTTTTCGGTCGTGTAACAATTAATGAGGAGTGTATTACATCTGCGAAGTAGTATAATAAATTAGGACAATATTGTGAGAATATCATATATGTTCTAATGTAATGCTCATCCTTGTGAATTACCGTATGTAAAGTACCATGTAATGGAGGCACCCCTTTTCTAGTATACCGTACTGGGTAAAAAAACAGACATCACCAGTATCATACTCATTCTTCAGTGGCTGCTATTGAATAGTGTTTTGCAACCTGATTCAGTTCTCCGCACTCGATTACCCATATCAAAGAGCGAGATCCAGAGCTTGGTCTCCCATCTTATTAAAAATTGAATTGTAGCGCCTGAGGGTCAGCAAGTCACCCTTGCCGTTTGTTCCACAAGGAGGAGGAAATACATTATAATCCCGAACATTGACCACATTTACACAAAAACTGTCTGCGCACATTAATACAGTATCAGTTTCGCTACATCCTCAAATCGCAACATTTAGCACCGATGACGTCATCTTTTCCAGCCCTCCACAATACCGGTATCTACTGATTCATACCTACTCTTCCAGCCAGAAACCGGCATCCTTTATCCGACATCCGTGCCCTCGAAGCGAATCATCTAAAGACCAGCTGACAATGCGCGTGTTCCGCTTCGCCATCGATCGCGGCGGTACTTTCACCGATGTCTACGCCGAGATGGACGTGCTGAACGGACAGGGGAACGTCATTGACGTGCGTCCAACGGTCATCAAGCTACTGTCGGAAGATCCGGCCAATTATCCGGATGCTCCTCGGTAATGTATCTATAACGAAAGAGAGGGGAAGGGGTAGGTGCTGTATTTCTTACTCGAATTAACTTACTGACTTATACACTGGTCATTTGTGTCGATATACTCTGTATGTGTTTAGAGAGGGTATCCGTCGCGTGCTTGAAAGAATGACAGGCACTCAACACCCACGGGATGAGCCCGTGGACACGTCCCGGATCCAAAGCATTCGGATGGGAACGACTGTAGCAACTAACGCGCTGCTGGAGCGAAACGGCGAGCGCACGGTGCTCGTCACGACCAAAGGGTTCCGCGATCTGCTGTACATTGGCAACCAGTCCCGTCCCAGGATTTTTGACTTGGAGATCCGCATGCCAGACGTCAGTTGAGTGGTGCTGCATTATTTGTCGTCGATGATCAGGACTTTGATCCTCTGATTTGTCACTTTTGTCATTTTTTATTTTTGAAATGTTTCATCTGATGTTACATGTTTATTATGCTTTTTATTGTCCTGATGTTATTGGTGCAGACACTTTATGACTCGGTGATTGAGGTCGAAGAGCGTCTGCAGCTCGTGAACAATGAAAAGGATCGTTTGCCGACAGATGAAAAGGGGATCAGCGGTGATTTCATACGAGTGATACAGGAATTGGACGTTGAGGACCTTACGGCGAAGCTTCAGGTGGCCCGTGATGACGGCATTGAGAGCGTTGCCATCGTGTTGCTGCACTCGTACACGTTCCCACGACATGAAGAAAAAGTCCGTGATGTTGCATTGAAACTAGGGTTTTCGCAGGTTTCTCTATCTTCTGACGTCATGCCTATGATAAAAGCTGTCCCGCGTGGATTCACAACTTGTGCGGATGCTTACCTCACGCCCGTCATCAAGAAGTATGTGGCATCCTTTTGTGCTGGCTTTGGCGACGGATTGGACCAAGTGAATATCAGCTTCATGCAGAGTGATGGCGGACTCGCCCGGATGAAGCACTTTCATGGACACCGGGCCATTCTGTCGGGTCCAGCCGGTGGTGTAGTGGGATACGCTCGCACAACACGGCCACCTGAAGTGAGTGCTCTGTCTATGCAGCCTGCAGTTATCGGGTTTGACATGGGTGGCACCTCAACGGACGTATCCCGCTTTGACGGGAAATTTGAACATGTCCTCGAAAGCGTCACAGCCAATGTGACGGTACGGGCACCGCAACTTGATATCCAGACAGTAGCTGCCGGAGGTGGATCACGCCTGTTCTACAAGAACGGACTCTTCCTGGTTGGCCCCGAGTCTGTGCGAGCACACCCGGGGCCTGTTTGCTACCGGAAAAACGGTTACCTCAGTGTTACTGACGCGAATCTCGTCACTGGGCGTATTCTACCTGAGTATTTCCCCAAAATCTTTGGTCCCAATGAGGACGAACCGCTGGATGTGGCTGGATCGAAGCAAGCGTTTGAAGTTCTTACAAAGGAAATCAATGAGTCGTTAGGCGCGAATGGAGCTAAGTATACTATGGAAGAAGTGGCGTCAGGTTTTCTGCGTGTAGCCAATGAAGCTATGTGTCGTCCCATTCGAAACCTTACGCAGAACAAGGGCTATGACATCAGTACGCATATTCTTGCATGTTTTGGAGGTGCTGGACCACAGCACGCTTGCTCGATTGCAAAGGCACTGGGTATGTCAAAGGTCTATATTCACCGCTATAGCGGTATCCTATCGGCGTATGGCTTGAGTGTGGCAGACAGCGTGGTGGATAAACAGTTACCCTCATCGGCAGAATACAGTGCTGACACTAAATCTGCTTTGGTTAGCAGTCTAACAAAAATTGCCAACGAGGTGGTGCGCGAGCTTGTTGCGGATGGATTCCGGCCTGAGGATGTGCAACTGCAGTACTTTCTCAATATGCGATACGACGGTACCGACAACGCTGTCATGACGCGTGGTCCAATGGGTGCTAAAGGCGAAGCTCCTACGTCAATCGCGAACGCCCTCGCTGAATTCGAATTCGATAGCAGTTTTGTGAAGAAGTACCAGCGCGAGTTCGGTTTTGTGCTGCAAAATCGTGCCATTCTCGTCGACGACATCCGTGTTCGCGCTACAGTGTCGCCTGAGCTAATGGAACACGCGGTTGGAGGTGCTGCTACCAACGCCGTTGATGCGGTTGAGCCCTGCTCGCCTCTCTCAACGACGCCGTTTTACTTCGAAAGCGAGAAAACGTGGAAGCACATTCCCGTCTACCTGCATGAAGAGCTCCTCCAAAAGCGTGGTGCTAGGTACAGCGGGCCGGCAATTATTATGCAAGGCACAGCCACAGTAGTTGTGGAGCCGGAGTGGGAGGTACAAGTTACGCCTAGCGGTGACCTCTTTTTAGTCAGCGACACTGAGACTGCAGGGTCGAAGAAGGGTAGCCCCCCTTTCCGTGCCGAAGATGTCCCGCTCGACCCTATTCAGCTCTCGGTATTCTCACACCGTTTCATGGGTATTGCTGAGCAAATGGGTCGTACACTGGCGCGTACGTCAGTCTCAGTAAACATCAAAGAGCGCTTGGATTTTTCGTGCGCCTTGTTTGGTCCCGACGGTGGACTTGTGGCGAATGCACCACATCTCCCTGTACACCTCGGTGCGATGCAGCAAGCTGTGCGCTATCAGCTCGAGTTCTGGGGTGATGATCTACACGACGGGGACGTGTTGGTCTCGAACCACCCGCAGCTCGCAGGAGGTTCGCACCTACCAGACATTACAGTCATTACGCCTGTTTTTAGCCACACGAGCAGCAAAATTGAATTCTTTGTGGCTAGCCGTGGGCATCACGCTGACATCGGTGGCATTTCACCTGGATCAATGCCTCCGTTGTCGAAAACGCTGTCTGAAGAAGGTGCGGCAATTGTAGCGTTCAAGCTAGTTGAAGGCAAGGTTGGTGAATTCCGTGAAAAGGAGATCACGGGCATTCTTTTGCAAAAGGGACGGGTTGACGACCAGGGTCGACCTTGCATTGGCACGCGCAACCTGCGCGACAATTTGTCCGACTTGCGCGCACAAGTGGCAGCGAACCAACGCGGCGTGATGTTGATGCAGGAGCTCTGTGCCGAGTACTCGCTACCAGTCGTTACCGCCTACATGAACTATATCCAGCAAGCTGCAGAGATTGCGGTACGAAATATGCTGCACGAGTTTTCGCTGCAAAAAAACTTGCCTGAAGTTGGCGTTGTATATGCGGAAGACTTCATGGATGACGGCACGAAAATCGCGCTGACGATCTCGATTGATCGCCGATCGAACTCGGCTGTGTTCGATTTTAGTGGCACTGGACCAGAAGTGTATGGAAATGTGAACACGCCTCCAGCAGTAACGTACTCTGCTATCATCTACTGCCTGCGCTGCTTGCTACCTGGCGAAGACCTTCCGCTCAATCAAGGCTGCTTGACGCCTATCGAAGTGCGCTTCCCAAGCAAAAGCAGTATTCTAAACCCAAGCAACAGCGCTGCTGTCGTTGGTGGCAACGTGCTTACTAGCCAGCGTATCACCGATGTGATTCTCAAGGCGTTTGGTGCGTGTGCAGCTTCCCAGGGCTGCATGAACAACCTCACGTTTGGCAGCTCCACATTGGGTGGCTACTACGAGACTATTGCTGGTGGTGCCGGTGCCGGCCCATCTTGGAATGGCCGCAGCGGAATCCACACACACATGACAAACACGCGTATCACGGATCCTGAGATCCTGGAGAAGCGTTACCCCGTCCTGCTTCGTGCCTTCCATCTTCGTGAAGGATCAGGAGGTGCTGGCAAGTTTCGCGGTGGCAACGGTGTCGTGCGCCAGGTGGAGTTCCTCGAGCACATGACTGTGAGCATCCTTTCAGAGCGACGTGCATTCCAGCCATATGGTCTCGAAGGCGGTGAACCTGGCGCCCGCGGTCTGAACTTGCTTTTACGTCACGGTGGTCGCACCGTGAACTTGGGCGGCAAGAACACGGTGGATGTGCTGCCAGGCGAGATCTTGACGCTGTACACGCCCGGCGGCGGAGGCTTCGGGGCTGCCAAGTAAACGACAATGGCTCTAGTAAAGGACATGCGACAAGGGGGGAGCAGCAGTGGCGCCTATGAGTATAACAAAAGTTACTGCAAGTTCCAACAACTCTGTTCTCCTCTCTACTTCTCGGACACTGACATTGCTGATGCATCCTTTTCCACCTTACGCGCTCGGCGCTTTCGAGCTTGTTTTTCCAGCACGTCGGCGTATGCATCAAGTTCTGCATCCAGCTCCTTGCGCAGCTCCTCATTACGCGAGTAAAAGTGACTCATGGGCACCTCCTTGGGGCGTGGCATGCCCGGGTTGTTCACGAATTCAACTGCTTTCTTCCTCACCTTTCGGTTCTTTTTCTTTTGTGCGCGAATATCGTCTCCTTGCACAAGAAACTCATCCATCGTGTCAGGGTTCCGTCTGTACCTGCACTGGTGAGCTATGTGGCCAAGGTTACCGCAATTGGAGCAAATGGGTGGCACAAGGCAATTCCGAGCTTGATGGCCGCGTTCCCCACAATTTGTGCACACATGGTTCCGATCATGGTCCCGTCGCAGTATCTGGTAAAACTTGCGCTGCTTCCGCTCCTGCTCGTCCCAGACGTTCTCAAGCTCGGCATCATAGTCAATCTCGTCCGTGTCTTTGTCGACAATACGATCCACTGCGTTCCTTCCAAGCTCGGCATTGCCATAACGACGACGGCGCGAGTCACGCTTACGAGCGTCCAATAACCAGCGACTAGTGCTGCTGCCTTCAATGGACCCACTGAACCCTGCAACGACCTCGTCCGGTCCATTGCTGTCTACAACATCAACGTCACCATCATCATCATCATAAGAGACGTCGTCCACATCAAATTGGAAATGCTCCGAGTGCTGCAAAAGACGTTCGAGAGGACTCGAGTTTTTCTCAACGAGAACTTCCTCTTTCTCGGTCAATGGACCATTCGTATCGAGCTTTTGGTTGTCGATTGGTACATCATCAAGCGTCGATACAATGCGCACTTTTGACGACTGACGGTATTGTGAGTGAGAAAGAGACGATTGCACGTGGTTACAGAGCAACGGGAGTGCACAGCGAGCGCTTGCAGGGCGACAAAGCCGTCGCGACTGAGCAGCTACGAGGAGCAGCACCATCGATTCACAATGAAGTGGCTCACCATTCCTCGAACAGCGATGTGCGATTGGTCAATATAAAAATGTGACCCACAACACCATCGTAGCGTTCTGACTGGTCGAAATGCGGACACCTGGTGCTTTTCTCGGTAAGTACGACCACGACGAAGCCCTCCCGAAAAAGCACGCTTTTGTTCCCCACCAGGTGACGACGCTCGGCATTGCGGACGTGTGTAGCTGCTTGTCGTGGTCTCTGTTGTTGTTTGGAGCCCTTCATCTGCTTGTACAGACGCTTGCGGTCGTTTGCGTCTAATTTTGATCGGCTTTCGACACGTCCTCGTGTCGCTAGAGCGTTTTAAAAGCACGTATTGACGCTCTTGATCTATTCATTACCGTTCTCTTTCGAGCCATCACGATGTTGTCGAGCCGTTTCGTGCCTGCTGAAGTGGAGATTCGGGATGTGTGGGCGACGAATCTGGAGGAGAATATGATGGCCATTCGAGAGGTTGTGACTCGAGGTTGTTACGTGGCCATGGACACAGAGTACCCCGGGGTCGTTGCCCGTCCTATTGGCTCCTTTACGACCTCATCGGACTATCAGTACCAGACATTGCGGTGCAATGTGGACTTGCTACAGATCATCCAGCTGGGTGTGGCTTTTTTCAATGAAGATGGCTCGTACATGGAAGACCAGCCGGTGTGGCAATTCAACTTCAAGTTTAGTCTTAGTGAAGACATGTACGCCCAGGACTCGATCGAGATTCTCAAACAGGCAGGCATTGACTTTGCTAAACATGAAGAGAAGGGTATTGAAGTCGCTAGGTTTGGTGAGCTCCTGGTGCCTTCTGGTCTCGTGCTAGCTGGCCATGTCAAGTGGGTCTCGTTCCACGGCTCGTCGGACTTTGGCTATCTGCTCAAGGTGTTGACGTGTGCGCCATTACCAGCGGAAGAGGAGACGTTCTTTGACTTATTGCACACGTACTTCCCGGCAACGTACGACTTGAAGCACGTGGCGATGGACTTTGACAAAGTGGGAGGACTGAGCCGCTTGGCGGAGGACCTCAAAGTGGAGAGAATAGGGACCATGCACCAAGCTGGATCCGACGCGCTGCTCACGGCCGCGACTTTCTTCAAGATGGTCGAGGTCTTTTTTGATGGCAAAGTCGAGAATGCCGTCAAGTACTCTGGTCAGCTCTACGGACTGGGCAACAGCATCGGTAACTTGGGTCAGGCATAGGCAAGCAGCAGAGGCGATTGAGTGCATGTTGGCCAAGTAGAAAACAAGTATGTGCAAACAAAGAGCACCACAACCAATAAACTGTCAACTGAAACAGATACTATAGACGCTGTACGGTGCAACCCTCTTCTCCTCGCTCGACACGAACTGTTTGCGACACTAATGCACATCGCACTGGTCAACAGTCCTTCTTACGCACGCGTCGTCGATTTCATCGTCGATCGCTTTTTCGTATCGCCTAGTGCTGCTGGATAAAGCGTACGACGTCATGAATCTCGGCGTCCTTAACGCTGCACTTGACAAACGAAATCTCACACGGCGCGTCCACGTCAAACTGAAACGACTCGCCATCCCGTCCTACTGGGACCTGAGACAAATCCTGATCCTCCTCATCTCCTTCTGTCTCCAAGGACGACCGCGTTTTCTTCAGTTGCGTCAGCTCTTTTTCCAAAGCGTCCCGCACAACCTGTGGGCTCACAGCCTCTCGCATGTCGCTCTTGTTGCACACGACCATGATCGGTGGTGTCAAGTCGTTCACCTTTTTGTTCGCAAAAACGTCGTACAGGAACCTACTCTCCACACAAAAGTTGCCAATCAAAAACATCGCCATCATCGTGTCAATATATTTTAGCACCAGCAGTCGCATCCAAAATAAGTTCATCAGTAACATCTGTAACTACCGAGCGACCTGAACAAAAAACTGAACAACGTACTCGGCAGCTTGGCGGAACGACGGCACGTCGCTCGCATCGACAAAGAACGCAATACATCCTGCCACTGGATAAAAGTCCGCCATTCGTCTAGACCGCGTCCATCATGATGAAAATAAAGTTCAAAAACAACATACAAATAAACAACAATCACCAACAACAATCAAGAAACATACACTTTTGTCAGTATTCTCAGAATTAATATTTGCCAAAACGCGCGTTGTAACGTACGAGCGAAGACGTTCGTGGCCAGGGAAATCCACGACCGTCAGCTCTGCGTCAAACTTGTCGGGGTTGTACTTTCCGTGCACGATAAAGCGACCCGTCTGCTCTTTCATGGAACTGACCGTTTCCACGTGTTCGCCATCACGAACGAGGTGGAAAAAGCGCGTCTTGCCTGCGTGACGCGGACCCAATAAAAGCGCCATTTTCCGCTTTTTGCCCGTAAAACTGACGTTCAGACCGCGCATGTGCTCAAGAAAGCGCACGACGAGCACGACGTAGACCACGACAAGGACGACAAAGGGAACGACCATGTACGCTGGTGCCCCGTAGATCTTAGACGTCGTCAGGAGCTCCTTCGTGCCGACGACAAGACGGTCCATCATGTCAATTGTCCAGTGAAAATATCGTCTCGTCAAATTGACGATTGCGATCGTGAAGTGACAAAAATGGTCACGTCAAATGACAATTGCTATCGTGAAGTGACAAAAATGGTCGCATTAAATTGACAATTGCTACCGTCAAGTTCTCACTACAATTATCAAAGTGGCACAACCCTCGTCACCATCATCGCATTGGTATCGTCAACTCATCGCTTTTATCGTCAACTCATCGCTTTTATTGTCGACTTGTCGTAATTATCGTCAGCCTGTCGTAATTATCGTCAGCTTGTCGTAAATATCGTCAACTCATCGCAACTATCGTCAACTTGTCGTAACTATCGTCAACTTGTCGTTTCTACCGTGAAAAACCTGAGCTTCTATTGTCAACTTCCGGTACCTCAATGACGCGCATGCCTGGCATCGTGTGGAAACCGGCGCACGTAACAGGCGCGTTGGTGCTCGCGTCGTCCTTCATCGATGCGTCCTTCATCGCGTCTGTCGTGCGCTGTCTCCTCTTTCTGTCCCTGGTCCTCTCAGGTCTCGACATGGCTCTCACGCGCTACCATCTCTGGCGCTTTGAACCCACTATTCCCACCCCCCAGCGCTTTGCACTCGTCACAGGCGCGTCCAGCGGACTCGGCAAAGAGATGAGCTTCTTGCTGTGTGAGAAAAAGTACTCGCTGGTCTTGGCGGCACGCACCGCGTCAGCGCTCGAGCGAATGCGCGCCGAGATGGAGCTCGTCCATCGTCCGACGCAAGTGCTCGTGTGCGTCTGTGACTTGTCAACGGCCGACGGGATCGACACGTTGATTGCGTTTATTAGGGACCGCGAGCTGGTGATTGACATTCTCGTGAACAATGCGGCCGCGTGTCTCACCAAGGACTTTGTCGCACTTACCGAGACGGACGTCCAGGAGCTCGTGGTGCTGGATGTACAGGCCATGGTGAAGCTCTCGCACGCGATTGTCCCGCAGATGATCCAACGCAAAGTCGGGCGGGTGCTTAATATTAGCTCCATGGCAGGAGTCGCAGCAGTGCCGACTGCTGCGCTCTATAGCAGCAGCAAAGCGTTTGTGACGAGTTTCAGTCAAGCGCTGAGCTACGAAGTGCGCGCGACGGGCGTCACGGTCACGTGTATGTGTCCTGGACCGCTCCTGACACCGAACTTTTGCAAGACGGCTAATTTGGGCAAGGCAGCGTGCATGACGTTGCCGGGAATTGCTGCAGAGGCCAAGGACACGGCCAAGATTGCATTGGACGCTATGTTTAATGGTGAAGTGCTCGTCTACGATACGTGGTTTGCCTACTTGTCGGCCAATCTCGTGCAGTGCGTCATGCCGCGTCGTCTCGCTGCGTGTATCTGTGGCGCTGGCATGCATGAGCTGAAGAATATCTGGCAGATGATCAAAAGATGAACTGGTGCGATGGGTGTGTAAACGTGTGGTGACGAGGCAAAGCGAGTTCGTAGCGTTCGGTGATAGATGACAGTATGGACACTGGCCTATCGTGTCCGTAGTGATGAAGCGTTCTGCGTAAAAGTAATGCAAGTGTTGTGTTCTCTACTACGTGCAGAGTCTATTGCAAGGCAGTCTCAGCTTGGTAGATGCGTTCTGATCGTGGAAAAAGCAAGGGCTTTCACTTGGTCCATCACTTGAAGCAAAGGGATATTCTGTTCCAGTGCGATCGCCTACGCAACGATAAAAATACGATCAAATTATCTTGACAACCTGCTAGACCGATGAAGTACTCAAACAAGCAGCGCCTTGCCTTGCAGTGCTCAAATTCTGGGTGCACATTCACAGCCTGACCACCCAGAAATGCGACTTTGACGTCGACAGAGCGGCCAAAAGCGAGGACGGACACAAAGTTGCGGGGCAAAAAGAAGCGCTCCATCACATTGCTGAGACCAAAAGTTGTTTATCGGTTTTTCAAATAAGCACAAGAGACGGGTATTAGTAAGGTGCACGAGGCCGTTCAACCCGCTGCTCATGTACAGCAATTCATCAGCAAACATTAGAAAAAGGCCGTACCGGCGAACACCAAGTGTCGAGGTTTCACGGAATAATATTTCCAAAATCTCATGTTCGTGTTCAGCGCGACACAATACGCTGAGGGCCATCAGACGAGTAACGATCAGAGAACGATCAAAAACTAGGAATACAAGCGCATTGCGTACCTGAGACACACACCAAGACGGTTCTTTTTCATCTGAATAGGCTGCTTCCATACGTCAAGCGCGTGGTGCTCTGACAACAAGCGCTCTGAAACATAGCCAATCACCTGCGGGTTCAAATCATCCAAATTGGTCTCAAGAACGACGACTTTCTCGGTATCACAAGACCGAATGGCAGGCTGGGCAGACCTTGAGGTGGCAATAGCCGGATTGACGTAGCTTTTTTCGAGAGCCAAAGGGTCGATCTTTGTTCCAATAGCAACGCGGACAATGTTAGCATGCTCTGGAAACTCTTTCGTACCCGCTCCGACACCAGTGTGCGTTGGAATAAAAGCGGGAGGCTCGCCAAATGTAGACGCCAGCGCCTTCACGAGACTTATACCCGTCGGCGTCACGAGCTCCCCATTTGCTCTAAAATAACAAGTCCGGTAAACTAGTAAGTGGCGCTATATGTACAACAACGGGCGGCAATGTCAAGGGTAAGAGCTTACCCCTTTGGAGCTGGACAAACAGGCACACCGATCATTAGTCGGAATGTGGCTGGTGGTGGAACTGGCAGGATTCCGTGCATGCATTTAACCGTTCCGGAGGAGAAGGGCACGAACGATGCGTGCACTTCTCGTACGCCAAAGAGATCAAGCGCGATTACAGAGCCTATCGTGTCGACAATGCTATCGATTGCTCCCACTTCATGAAAGTGAATCTTCTCCAGCGCTGTTCCGTGAGTGTGAGCTTCTGCTTGTGCCAACAACGTGAACACCGCAACGCTCTTGGCCTTGACCCAGTCAGACAAGTCGCTCTCTGCAATAAGCGCCTTAATGTCATCCAAGTTGCGCACAGGCTCACGATCGTGTGCAGCTGCAATACTCTGCTCATGTCCATCGAGCGCATGATCATGGTCATGGTCGTGAGAGTGGTCGTGCAAATTTTCTACACCTGTAGCAGTGCCTGCTCCGTCCACGTTTAGATCTTCGTGCTCATGGTCATGCATACCCTCGTGTCCATGGCTATATGTACCCCCGTGATCATGGCTATGTGTACCCCCGTGCCCATGGCTATGAGTACGGGCGTACCCACGTCCATAACCCTGTTGCAGATCCTCAACTGGAGACGGTGGAGCGACCTCCTTGTGCTGATAAATGGAGCTCACATGTACCTTGGTCGCTGCAATGTTCCCCGGCCCTTTCCACACCTTCGCAGTGCTGAGCTGCCACTCGCCCTTGATCCCGTGCAAAGACTCGAGGCCGCGCTTGATCTCAGCCAGCGAAGCGCCCTGCCAGACACAACTACACACGTCAGTACACAGGCTGCGTCATTGCATCAATGGATACATGTACATTGGGCACTGGAACGCACGGCATCGATCAGCGCGCCGAGCAGCATGTCGCCCGCAATACCAGCAGAGCAGTCGACGTACGCGAGCGCCATTGTGGGGTATCAAGGGAGCAAAAGGAGACGAAAAATGGGTCCTTCTGTACCCCAATCAAAGGTCTTCGAATTGCTTCAATCAAAGGTCTTCGAATAGCTCCAATAAAAGGTCTTCGAATAGTCCTAATAAAAGGTCTTCGAATAGTCCTAATAAAAGGTCTTCGAATAGTCCTAATAAAAGGTCCTGTCTGTCCTTGCGTGGTCTATATTTTGAGTGGCCAGAACTAATTTGCGTGTCACTTATTTTTTCGCGTGCACTTCCATTGCGAGGCGTGAAGGGCTCGCAACCCAAAATAAGGAAACCAAGCGATACCTAAAATAACCAGTCTTTCGCATGTTCGCGAGTCTATGGCGACGGACGTCACTGACTGGATCGAGAGGCTTCTCTACGGCCGCACTGAAGCAGCCAGCGAGTGTGGCCACGTCAATGAATCATCACCGTGTCTATTATGATCGAATCGCGCGCAAGTTCCCGACCAAGAAGAAGCTGTCGGTCATTCAGTCGATCGACCGTGCGACGCAGTACCTGGAGGGGAGGGGACTGAGTCGGACACAGGCGCTGCGGGCTATTTCGCAGCATGTGATGGTGCGGTAGAAACGGTTATGACGGTTGGGTTCATTTCTATCATTGAAGGCGGACGTTTCTATATTGACAAGTGATTTTGATTTTGTCGGTCGTTTATTGCAGTTGATGAACTACTCGGAGGAATTAATGGAGAGCAAGGTGCGTTGTGACAACAATACGGACAGAAGAGAAGAGTGCGATCGTGGATTCATACGTTATCGTGCTGGTTGTTATTGTTGCGCCCAGATTCCGTGGTTCGAAGGCATCGGTCTCAGTCATGACAAGATCAATGCTATTATCATGCGCCATCCGAACATCTTGGGGATTTCGATCGAGAAGTACGAAGCTCTGATTAGGTGGTACCTTTCTCATGGAGTAGCTCAAGACAAGGTGAGTTGAATATGAGAGAGTGCTCTGAGCATGCAATGTGGGTTGGCAGTGTTGCTAATTAAGCTGCACGACTACTGTACATCGATTTGATCATTCAGATTGCCTATTTGTTCAACATATTCCCTCAAGGCGTGTCGTACAATATCCAAGACAATTTGGATCCAAAAGTAGAGCTTTTGAGAGAAATCGGGTGCTCGGATCAGCAGGTCACGCGCGCTCTGACGAGGTCGCCGCAGATCTTTACCCTCAGCGTCGAACGACTGCGTGGCAAAGCAGATTATCTGGTAGAGCTGGGTGTACCACGAGAACGATTGCCACACATCGTTTCTTCGGTACCTGAGTGCCTCGCACTAACTTTGTCCCGGCTCAAAGAAACGGTGGATGCGATTGACGAAATGTTCGGTGCTGGTGCTGGTCTGCGGGCTCTGCTGTGCAACTGTCGTATCGTTATGAGCAACATCAATGCCATGCGCGAGTCATTCGACTTCTTCATTTCGATAGGCTTTACCAAAGAACGACTGGAGAAGAACACGAGGTTTATTATGCGCAGCGTCAATCGCTGTCTCCGTCCACGCGTTCAGTTTCTAAAGAGGAAGAGTGTGGATGTCGTGAGCGACATCACGTGGATCTTGATGCCGGAAGCTCTTTTCATTCAAAAGTATCCTGACTATGCAGCCTTCGAGATGGCGTTGAATACGGATCTCAAGGAAAAGTAACCAGATTGCAGGCTACCGTAGTGTCGTCATCGAGTATGACCTGCACGTACGCACACTCTGAATCGACACAGGGCAGACGTTGTGGCGATGCGACGATACGTGATGAAATGCATTGGAAAAAGGGGTCATTGTGCGAGCCGCCGGCGTCTTGTCAATTCCACTGTTATGGTGAGCAGTCAGTCTACAGACTGCAAAGTATAGCTAAAAGTTTCGACCGTTTTCGAGTGTAAATCGCCACAACTATCTCTCGCTGAACTGTTGTTGTCTTGTAGATGCTGACTTATCATCTGCGTTACTCGGACGAGTGTTCCTTGAAGTGAGCAATTGTGACGATACGGTACAAGCCATGATAGTACTGTCGGTAATCATTCGAACCACTGGACCACCTTGATATCAAACCTCTAAAGACCTATATTTTGAGCACCATTAAGAAAGGAGAAAATGGCAAATATGGAGTAAAATAACGAGGAAATGCACGGATGTATACCACTCACTTTACAAAGAAAGTAGCTGCTTCAAGTCACTTAAAAAAACAAAATATGTTACACAATAGAAATGCAAAATAGGAACCGAGGATGTATACTATACGAACACGCATACGCATTCTTCCAGATGGTAGAAATACATCGATGTTGTCGACTATAATCATCCAATGTGACGTGACCATCATCTAAATGACAGAGGCTGAACCAACATTCGCGTAGTCGGGTGGTGTCAGATCGGTCTTCGTATACCTTCACAGCTCAGTTTTCGTCGCGAGCAAGATATACGGCCAACCCGTTGATGTCCTATCCCTCTACTACTTACTGGCGGCAAATCGCAATTCGTACTTTTGCGGTTTCAAACCCAGCGGCGGAAAACATCGACGAGAAACGACTAACTAGCTGCACATTTGCGGGAATGTGTAGCCGATTGAGTTGATTATGTTAAAGTTCTGATTGAGCTCGATTAAAAGTGAAGTTGTCTGTTTCGTGCAGCATCAAGTGATAAACGGCGGTATCAAGCAGTGGACGTCACTACACAGATAAGAAGCATTAAACAGGTGAAGATAAGCATGCAAGCTTCTGATAGAGTTACTTACACCCCTTGCATACCCATGACTATTATATGACGGAATAGCAATCAGTTCATAGTGTCGATCTTGTTGCTTCGTCCTACATCTATAAGTCAATTTGCGTCTGCGGGCCCACGCTGATGTTTTCGTATAGTTATAATCCGTGGTAACGAACGACTAAAACCTTGGTAATTAAATAGTTGTACGCGGAAATAGTGCAAATTTGTACGGACAGTATGCCTTTTCGGTATTCTGTGTTTTATTTTATAGTGTGCACTATTTTCCATGTCGTCAGTTATTCGCAGCGTATGTATATTTGTCATTCTTGCGGTACATAGTAAGATAGGAGAGCAAGCTCCGTAGCTCGCCATTTACGATTAGTAATTCAGTCCTAACACTGAATCAAATCCTGTATATTCATGTGCCTTGCGTTCAGTCACTGATAGCTTCACCCTTCGGGCTCGCACTGATTTTATTCTCCAAAGCAATTCCTTTGTAACATCCTGAACCGAACATGGCGTGCCCTACGTCAACCAGCTTGTCCTGTTGGAAATCGTGCGCGAATGAATACGCGCTTTTCATATCGAATGACACTGTTTGGGTCAGATGATGCGTGTGACTAGTTTGAGATAGGATTCGGTTAAATACCCTACCAATCCAACCAGTCGTCGGTTTGGAGGAAGAACACTCAACTTCACTTCAACATCACTTTCTTTCGATGTCATTTTGTGTATCGTGACTAAACTTCACCAACCAACATGTACATATCAGTGATTAATGGCACGTCCGAAGCAGGGGATGATAGGCGCGAGTAGTACAACATCTTGCTTAAGGGTGGTAACGCAACAACCGGACTTCTACGCAGCCGACCATAGTCGACACGACGCAAATCTTCTTGGTTATCTGTCTGAGGAATCGACACTCCCGTTTATAAACAAAGAAATGGACGCTTGCCACAAATACCGCTTCACCGAACCGGAAAAAATAGTAAAAAAGATGACTATCGAGAAACCTCGTGCCACAAATAGTCCGTCGTCAACTGACAAAGTGTGCCCCATCAGACGAACGCAACCAGCATGACCATCATCGAGAATGCGTCCGCGGTGGCATCACCCGACCCGCATTCCGAAGGCATTGTCGTCTCTGGACCTCGTGACGCAACCGAAGGACCGCCACTGGTCAAGGGCATGCGGTTCAAGGACAGCAAGACCGCTTTCTACGCCGTGCAGGACTACGCGCTGTTCCACAATAAACAAGTGAAAGTCGATCGTCGCGGCGGGAAACACCGTAAAATGGTATGCGCTTCTTCCGAGCCATGTCCGTTCTTTGTGAGGCTCTACCTGCACAACTCCAAGACGGACAAGACGTGGTACGTGTCAAGTGCCGAGTTGGCGCACGCCCCAGAGTGCACGTCGACTGCCAAGCCCACCCAGCGCCAATTGGTCGAGAGTCTCAGTTTCCAGCAAGCTCTAGCATCGACGCCGGATGGTACTGCAGCTCAATTGCTGCAGCGACTGCAAGGCAAAGCGAACCTCCGCACGGTGTATCGTGCCAAGCAGATGATGAAACGGGAGCTGCAGGTTCAAGTGGGGAACTCGTTCCGGAAGATCCCGTCGCTTTTACGGAATTTCTCGGCGTTGAATCCGGGTTCGTTCGCGAGACATGAAGTCAGCGACCGGCAGAGTAAAGTGCCTGGCGCTTTTGCCAGAGCTTTTGTGAGCTGCCATGTCTTTACCGACTCGACGACGTTTAATCAGCAGATTTACGGACTTGAGGTTCGACCGTGTCACAACAGCAAAGCGAACTACCAAGGAGTGCAGATCTTCTTGCTCGGGAAAGATGGCAACATGTGCAATGTGACCATTGCTGCTGCTTGTTGTGATGCACCGTCGAGTGAGAACTACCGGTGGTTCTTTCGATGTGTGGAAGAAAGTGGCGTGAATTTAAGATACTGTCCAGTGTTGTGTAAAATCGATGCCGAGTTGATGGCCGTGGAGACCGAGTTGGCACTCACGTTGCGGTACTGCACGAAGTACGTGATTGAGCACGAGCTGGTCCAACTCGAGACTTTCAGCCGACACCATCATGCGCTAGTATGGGGGTTGCAAGGGTCCGAGACCGAAGCAGAGTACGACAGCCGTCTCGAGTGGATTGGTACGGCATGCGGGCCTCGAGTGGAGAGCTACCTTCGACAGTTTCCGATGGAGCGGTGGGTGGTCGCAGGGAATATCGGAAAGGTTGCAATGTATGGATGGCGCAGTCGGACATTTGTTGAGACGTCCGAGCGCGAACAGCAAGTTGATGCTGGAGCAGGACACGGACTAGGAATCGGTGGTCTGGATCTCGGGGGGAGCTGTGGCGTGGAAAACACCGAGGTCAGAACAGCCCCAGCAGCGTTGAGTCTCAATGCAAGCGCTAGGCCTGCAAACGCAACAGCTGAATCTGCAGGTCCAAGTGCAAAGGGACTGGATCGGTACCGGGATATGCTTCCATTTACGTTTTTTGAGACCATCATGGCGTCTTTTATGCAAGACGCGTTCGAGCGCAGCATGCTGGCAACGTCGTGGAAGCGGCAGAACCGAAAAGTCACGCAAGGTGCTCAAGACCTTTACGACGCACAGTGCAAGCGCATTGGCGAGTACAAGGTCGGTCGTGCTTCCGAGACGGTCGCATTTGTGACAAAAGTGAACAACGACGCTGGCGTGCGCCGTTGCGTGGACTTGCACGCTAGCACTTGCACGTGTGGCTTTATCGACCAGTACGCTCTTCCGTGCCGCCACCTCATTGCTGTGCTGCTGTTCTGCGAGCAGATGGACTCAGTCATCGATCGGTTTGCCCCTGGGTATCTTGTGGAAAACTACGCCATGGCTTTCCGGGAAAAAGTGGTTGAGTTACCGCTGGAATCAGCTCTTGGCAAGGACTTTGCTCGTGTCTCTTCAGCAAGGACAGCAACTGTCCAACGTACTAGAACCAGCAGCGCCAGCAGGGACAATAAGGACCTCGACGCGACTCTTTGCTCAGGAGCCAACCGGACAGCACCTGCATCAGACGTTGCGGCCATAGCCGTTCGCAGTGCAACCGAAGGTTTCCATGCGGAGCCTGGTGCGGCACAAGCGCGTGTTCGCTTGTGCAAGAAATGCCGGGGTCCCGGCCATAACTCCCGGAGCTGCTCGGTGACGACTGTGACAAGTGAACAGACGCCTGGTTGCAATGGGAATATAGTCGGAAACCATGGACTATGATCGTGTCCTGATCAGACACAACATCTCGAAGATCAAGAGCGTGTATTCGGTTGTTCTGCGCGGCGTGGAGGATGCTCAAAGAAGTCGGGGGAACGCACGTGTTGAGATGTGAAGCACGAGGGTGAGTGATGACGACACGTTCTGGTCTCCAGCTAGGGCAGAGGCGAGCGAGCTTGGAGCGTCTGACAATACACCGAGACTAAACGTTGGTCTGCATTTTAGGATTTGAGCTGGAGTATATTATTTTGGTCAACCTGTTCATCTGCGTAGTTTACGAATGATTTCTTTCCGCTGTTGCTAGTTGCAGGAGATCATCGTGGTAAAACGGAACAGGCAATAAGTCGGAGCGAAGATGGAACAAACGTATCAACGGCCTCTCTTATACCATAAAAGGGGGGGATATGCCTAAAGTTGATTGCTGCTTGTAACGGCCACCGAATCAGTTTTGATTTAGATACCTTTAACTCCTAGAAGATACTCTTTGTATTAGAGGCAAGTTTTTGACCCGGTGTTTGTGGCAGCAGAGTGAAGATCCGGTTCTTGCGCTCGACTTTCTTGCACTTGTGGTGCGTTCAAGCCAGACGGCATGCAGCTGTCACTCGGACGAGTCTGAACGCCTCTGATTCGTGCCTAGACGACCATCGAGCATGCATCATTTACGCTAAACGTTGCGCCGCATGTGTTACGGTAGCACTACATTCCATGCCACAGGTGAGCGCATGCATGGCTGTCGGCATCTAGCGAGTGAGGCTCTACGTGTGATGACCGTTGTAGCATTAGTCATGGCCATGTAATGGCGCTCCCGACGTTGCATGGATTTCATGTCGGCATGTTCTGATTGCAAATAGGAACAGGTCGATACACTACATTTCGATGTATCTTACGAACGAGTTGTTCGATTGCGCCAACAAGGCATAATGAAGCGTAGCATTCTCGCTAATCGACAAAAACGTGCACATCTCTCGTTTCGAAAGGAGCAGTCGCAATACCGATCACTCATCGGTGGATGTACGCGTAACGTCGCGCATGCCTGCGAGAAGACCGCAGAAGAGGATCAAAAGTTCTTCGAAAAATGTCTCGGCACGTTGTATTAATAGGCGTCACCCTCTAACTGGGTCTCCCTCTCTCTCTCTTCCTGTCGACAGAGTGAAGGTCTCGTCCAGCGAAACGAATCAGATCCAGAGTGACAACGAAACTGCTCATGTCGTTCGTTGCCTTTTTGTGGATCGCTCTCTCTCTCTCTTCGCAGACCGCGCGTTGAAGTGCGCGCATCCATCACTGCCTTCAACCTCAAAAAGCGCCCTTTTCACGTCCCCGTTTCCCCACCAGTGCGCATTCCCACTTTGGCATCGTTGGCCTCACCCACTGCCAGTCCAACCTCGTCCGGTCCACCATCACTCTCACTCCCTTTCTCGCTCTCCGCCTTGATCCATCTCTTTCCGCAATGTCGGGATACGAAAGCGGAGCCTCGTTGCCCTCGCGCTCGCTCAAGAACAGCGACAACTACACGAAGATGGAGTCGCCTCGAGCTTCTGTGCAGTCGCTCGAGCTGCCGTCGCACCGCGTCGTAGACGTGCCAACCGCCGGCACGCGCTCGTTTTCCTCGGCCGATCTCTACTCTGTCGACGCCAAGATGGCGACAAACGCCGCTTCAAGCCACGCTGGTTCCTGCACGCCTTTACCAGGCCATCGGTCGCGTTTCTTGAGTGACACGGAGCTGCTGCTGGCTGCAAACCCCGTGCCAACGCGCGAGTCGTTTGCGACGCTCAACGAGACGGACGACAAGACGTGGCCCCAGCGCTCGACGGAGCTCATTGCCAAGATGCTCAACACGAACTTTGACCGCGGACTGAACGGCATGGACGTCGAGCGCCGGCTCTTGCGCTATGGCGAGAATGCGCTCGAGAAGGAAGCGCGGACGCCGCTTGTTGTGGTCTTTCTCTTGCAGTTTTACAATGTGATTATTGCCATGCTGTTGTTTGCCGCGCTGGCGTCGTTGGCGTTGCAAGAGTGGGTTGAAGGCATCGCGATCCTGGCCATTGTGACGCTGAACGCGGCCATTGCGACGTTCCAGGAGCAGTCGGCCAGCAACGCACTGGCTGCACTCGCAAGTCTGTCGAGTCCCCAGTCGCTGGTCATGCGCGACGGCGTACAGCAAGTGGTTGACAGCCAACAGCTCGTGCCGGGCGATGTGGTGATTCTCGTCACGGGGGACGTCGTGCCGGCCGACATGCGGCTGTTCACGAGCGTGGACTTGAAATGCAACGAGATGCTGCTCACGGGCGAGTCGGAAGATGTACCCAAGAAGTATAATGCACCACTCGCAAGTGCCGGGAAACCTGCCAAGCTGACGGCGGGGAATATGGTGTTCTCGTCGACAACGATCACGGCAGGGAATGCCCGTGGCGTGGTCGTGGAGACGGGCATGCACACGCGTGTAGGCTCGATTGCAGCGCTCTTGCAAGCGCAGGGCGAGACCCCGGACGCTGGAGAAAGTCGAAAGTGGATCCGCAACCCAGTCAGCGACTGCGTTGCCAAGCACCGACCCAAGCTCACGCCATTGCAAAGAGCATTGCACCACATGGGCTTTATCATGGGCATGATTGCACTGAGCGTGGCGCTGCTTGTGTTTATTGTCGGTATGGTCCGCGACACGGATGACCCTCGCCATCCCACCCGACCGACATATTTGACGATGATTATGACAGCCGTGTCGATTGCGGTAAGTGCCGTGCCTGAAGGTTTGCCAATGGTCGTGACGATTTGCCTGTCGTCTGGCACGGCCGACATGATTAAGAAGAACGTGCTCGTACGGAAGCTCGCAGCAGTGGAGACGCTAGGTGCAGCTTCAGTCATCTGCACAGACAAGACGGGTACTTTGACGGAGGGCAAGATGACTGCTGTAAAGCTCTGGGGCGATTTCCGAGAGTACACTATCACTGGCAAGGGGTTTAGCCCCGAAGGCTCAATCCTCTCGTCTGATGGAGTTAACCAAGCTCCACTAGAAGCCGGGAACGTCCAAGTTCGAGCCACTTTGATGGCCTCCGTGCTCTGCAGTAACACGCAACTCAAGGAAGTTGAAGGCGACGATGGTGAAACGTCAAGATGGTTACCGTTCGGCAATTCGTCAGAGGCGCCACTGGTCGTAGCAGCCGCGAAAGCAGGTATTTGGGAGGATGGTCTCTTCGAAGACTACCCGCGCCTCGTCGAAGTGCCATTTAGCTCCTCGCGCAAGATGATGATCACCGTGAATGCGGTTCCAGTCTTACACGGCTCTGCAATGTTTGACACGCTTGCGCTACATGGTGCCGTGGCGCCGACACTCGTGGCTAGCGTCAAGGGCGCTCCAAATTACATTCTGCAAAACTGCACTCAATACTGCCAAAAAAATGGCACGTTTCAGCCGCTGAACATCATGCAGCGTAATGAGATCGCCGCGGCTGTGGAGGAGTTATCTTCGCAGGCACTTCGCGTGCTCGCGGTGGGCATCCAGCCTCTGCAAGAACTACCCTTCGCTTCGGATTGCGATGATGTCGACGAAAAGTTTGCTGCTCTGGCCAAGCCACTGGTGTTCTTAGGTCTTGTGGCATCTATTGATCCAGAGCGCGACGGAGTGCGTGATGCTATTGCAACTGCACGCGCAGCCTCCATCCGTACCGTAATGATCACGGGAGATTATCTAGCCACAGCAGTCGCAATTGCCAAGAACATTGACCTCTTGCACATCGGGTCAGATCTCGAAGCTCAAGCAACGGACTGCACTAATCTTCGTAGTAAGGGGAACGTGTATCTACCACCAGCCGATATCGACGAAATCACTTCGCGTACGCTGGTGTTCGCTCGTGCCAAGCCTGAAGACAAGATTGAGATCGTCAAGTCACTCCAACGTCGAGGCCTCATTGTTGCAATGACGGGCGATGGTGTCAACGATGCACCAGCGCTTAAGGAAGCAGATATTGGTGTGGCCATGGGCATATCGGGCACCGAGGTCGCAAAGGGTGCTTCCGACATGATCCTGAGCGATGATAATTTCTGCAGCATCGTGGCGGCAGTCGAGAAGGGTCGAGTGATTTATGCCAACATCCAGAAGTTCGTCATGTTCTTGCTGTCCACGAACATTGGCGAGATCGTGCTCATGTTTTTATCGGTTGCAGGAGGGTTTCCGCTTCCGCTGGAAGCTTTACACATATTGCTTCTCAATCTGTTCACTGATGGAATGCCTGCCATAGCACTGAGCTTGGAGAAGGGCGATCCGCACATCATGAACGACAAGCCTCGTCACAAGAGTTCTCCATTGATCGTCGGGCGTCTGTGGCTGCTTGTGTTGTTTAACGCCTTCCTCCTTTTGGTCGGTGCCCTGACCACCTTTTTGTTGGGGCTGTACTGGAACTTCGGTTTGCTGCTAACGGACGACATCTACAACGCTGGCGGCGGCCCCCATGGCATAGACTACACGGACGTGACTTGCCTTCGCTGGGAAGGCATGAATGACGGATGGCGGACATACGGCAAGTGCGCTGCACAGGATACGAACGGGAGGTACATCTTTGGTGAAGAAGTGGCATCCATGTCTTCGTTTGTAAACGCGACAGTGTACTGTGAAGGAGGAAGCGACTACGACTGCCTTTCGGAGGGTTTAGGTCGCACGCAAACGATGGTGTTCTTGGGTTTGGCCTTCACCGAGGTACTTCGGGCCTACACAGTGCGTCACTTTACGGACCCGGTGTTCACGCGGATGCTGTCGAACGGATACATGCAGCTTGCAGCGTGCATGTCGCTGGTACTAACTATCCTCGTATCCAACGTCCCTGTCATTATGGATGACATCTTTGGCTTTGAGTACATTACTTGGTTCCAGTGGCTTGTGGTTATCGCTGTCGCGTTCAACAGCGCGTTCTGGGGCGAGATGCTCAAAACAATCCTGAGACGACAGGACCGCGCACAAGCTCGCTGGGACCGCATGAAGGCTGGATTTGAAGAGATTTTGCTCGAGATTCGGCATGTGCGTCTTCACGTCGAACGACTTGAAGCCGGCAGCGGCAGTCTGAAGCTCGAGTAAGGATGAAGAAGGGGTATCGGCTTCCGATCTTCGCATTTTGATCTCCATGTTTTGTGTGCTCTAGTCAACGTACTTGACCTATCGAGTGGATCGCTTCTTAGGAAGAACAGATACCGGGGACAACAGAGCTGTCGTTAATGTAGTTATGACCATGTCGATAACGACGTGATCTTGCTGAGTCAATGAGTGCGTGCTTCTTTGACCCATTCTGACTCAATATCTGCAATTGACCATACGCGTCAGTCGGGTGTCAGCCGTGTCAAAGTCATTTATCAGAGGGGGAATCGCTTGGTGCTTCCGCCATGTTCGGCGTGTAGCTTATATACTCTTCTTCAAGCAAGTGTTAATCGCATAATGCTGAACCGCCACTTAGACGAGATCCACAGTGCGCGCAGATACGATAGGGTGACGTTGTTTGTAGGAAGGATAAACCCACTATTCAGGTATATCTTTGAGCAAAAAGGGTTTGAATCTACGAAAAATAATAACCCAAGATAATTAGAAGAAAAATGCTCCACGTCCTCGTGTACTCAAATTAACGTAATGCACAGATACTGATTTAGTGCTTCGATGAAAGAGCTGACCTATTATAATCACCATTCACACACAATAGGCTAATACGTCTGAGTTACTAAACCAGATGAGCCCTGGATTACGGTCACGCGGATATTTAACGTGACAGAATGGACGTATGTTATGCTCGCGTATCAACGCTACATTCCGGCAATACTTATCGACAAAGCGCAAAAGGCCGTAGCTGGGAGCCGTATAGAATACTTAGATCGAATCTAGCGGGTCTGTAGCCCTCAAACATTCAGAAGCGCCACTCATTATTACCAATTGACTTTATAAGTATACGTTAAGTGGTTCTGCAGCACATCGTGACAACGCAGAACGTGGTGTGGCACCCCGGTATATTCATAAGTGGACCGCATGCCAAGTTCTGACGGATACAGTGCGACGAATTGATGAAACTTGTTATTGAAGTCCGTACCGTAGATTTCAATGTAAAGTTTATTTGATTCTTTGAAGTATGACATGCATGCTGGAGTAAGTTAAAACCTGGAACAGATCAAATGTTTTATGTGTATTGTTATTATCTCTTGAACTCTCCACGTACAGCGTGCTGTCCTTGTGTTTTATAGTCATTAACAGCACCGGTGATTGCCAGCAATAGCACTCGAATGTCTCCATCAGCACTAAAACCTGTTTCAAATTGCTTTGTTTGTATTGTACGCAGCTTTTGACATGCGTAAAGTTTTGACGGAGCTATCTCATCCGATCCAGAGTAAATTAGATGTCAGATACACATTTGTACGATGTATATTTAAAACGGCCGGGACGAAAGATATAAAGGAACGTTGTCGTACAAAAAAAAGGCAAACAACTTCGATAGACTATGTTGGGGCATCATAGCACCCGTTCCTGCTTGCAATACGCATGCAGTCGAACAAGGATGAAAGCTTTTAAAAGATAAATAAGGAAGTTGATATATCGACACCCCTTTCCCTAAGTTTACACTGTAGCTGTAGCCCTCTTTCTTACTCATACTTATTCTATACAATACTCTTCTTCCTACACTCGTACGTCAAGAAACTAGAAACATACTTGTTAGGTATAAACTTATTTATATATTAATTCTCATAAATCACTATTTATCTTCATCTAACTATGTCTAAATACAAATTGTAAATCAGTTATCTCTCACCACTCATTCTCTCTGTTGGCCTCTTCGTTGGTTGATATAATGGCCTATATCAACCAATTAGGAACTACTTGGAAGTCTACAGAATATTGTCCTTATGACAATATTCTGAGAATATAACTCTTATAGTTATATTCTATTAACAATTTCTTATAAATTGTTATGTAACGATTCACCCCGTTACAGTAGCGGAGCTACACAGCTCCTCAAGTCAGAGGAAGACTTAACGCTCTACGAGCAACTTAGTTCCAAAGAACTAATGACTTTACGAGTCAACAAGCTTTACAGCTTCAGATCCCTGTTCCAGGGGGACCTAACGATTCAGTGAATCGACAGCACTCAGTGCTCAAGAGTAGCTACCTCGAGGAGGTGTCGCTAGCTCTTAGTGATCAGTGATCAACGATCAAGACGGCTCGCAAGCCACGTGTCCTTCCGATCAAAATGGGAACTGATTTTAATCAGTTTAGTTTAGATTTTAATTTGTTAAAGCCTATAGAATATCTTAATCCTACTCAAAGATCTTTCGTACCTAGTGGCTGACACTCGTCAGCCCCTACAAACCAATAAGATATTCTATATCACCTTCACAAAGGGGTAACCTCAGGTGTGTAACACCCCTGGTACAACGTACCATAATTTCGTGCAACCCCGTTACACCCTCCCCCACCAGACTGACGTTTGCCAAAACGTCAATCGAACTTGTGTTCTCAGCGAGAACAGTGCGCGTGCGGTGAACCTCACGGTAACGTACGCTCCAGCACGATGTCCTCATCACCAAACGAGTCAAAGGCTCTGTGTGACTACCTCGGGATAGAGGAGGAGGTGGACTATGGTAGCGATACCAGTGTACGCGGTGATACAGGGACAATGTCCGGCTCAATGATGCCTGAGGCACAACTTTCGAACACCCCAAATCCGTTCGCTGAACGTGGAGGTGCGAGCGCGCCACCAGCGCAGTATGCAGTGTCTGGGTCTGATGAGACTATCATCACGAACCCGCTCGATGAGCAACAACAACTGCTTGTTCAAAGAGAAGAAAACGCTCAGCGTCATGTACAAATGGCTACAACCCTTGAACGCCAGCGTGACTATGTGTTCACCCCACCCAGTGTGGAGGAACGTCTACGTCAAGCGGCCGGCCAAACGTTGGCAACGTGGGTCATTGGCCATGAGCCTAAGACTCCTGAGGAGGTGGTGAGCTGCCAGGCACTTTGCGAGAGGTACCTGGAGCCGCACCTAACGACTCAAAGTCAATACAAGGCACGCCTTGACATGCAAGCGCGTGGTACACCGGTTCCACCGATCAAGGGTTTACCCATTCTCTTGTTCGCAGGCGAAACAGTGAGCGAAGAAGACGATGCCTTTGTTCACTGGGTGCACTATGTGCGTCGCCTCAGCAACAGTTTTGCTCTAAGGGCTAGTGCCAGTGTGGCTGACGTGCGTCTTGAACGCAAGCTTCGGTATGATTATGCCAAGCTTAAGGCCAGAGGCCAATTGCGCAAGCGCACGCGCTATGCTTCGGCTACTAAGGTAGTCGCGAGTGCTGGTCAGTCTGTGGCCAACAACCCGCCAACCCGCACCACTAGTGGCGGGGAACGGCCTCGGCCTCGAGATGACCATGGCCACGATGCTCAAAAGCCTCCAAAGCATATGGGCAGTCTTGCCGAAGGGGTACCTCAAATTCCCATGAGTTTTCAGACTCAGGGTACCCATGCCACTTTACCAGATACTGGTATTGGCCCTGACGACGAGGTCGTTTCAGTAGTCTCTCGACATGAAATTGACGACACCCATGCTCATCGAGCAAAGTCGGTGGCGGCCGGTGTACCGGTGGAGGCCCGCGAGAAATTGGTTCTCGAAGTGAAGGGTCTTCAAGAGGCCTTGGGTAAGTCCAAGTGCGTGCTGGATGCGATGCAAAGCCGCCTTCAGGCGATGGAGCAAGCTCGAACTCGGAGCGAGGCTCAGTTGGACTTGCTGATTCGTCTACAGCAATCCGGGGCAGTGCCCTTGTCGTCGGCGCAAGCACCTCCAAGTTCACATGGGAAGGATCCCGGTACGGCTTAAGTAAGCCTACGTAGAACACCAGATGTGTGCGCAATTTGCGCGGGAGGTTTAGCGTATACGCAAGTCCCTTCTTGGCCGTGACCGTAAAGGGTCCAATAAAGCGTGGACGCAACTTTGTCTTAAAGACAGCAGACACTACATTTGTAGGTAGATTTTTAGCAATGAGTAGTACCTGGTCTCCGACCTCATAACGTTCAATACAATTTCTGCCTTTGGCATCAGCTTGTTGTTTTTGGGTATCTTGGCTATCAGCCATTGCGTCACGTACATGTCTTAAGACATTTAATCGCGTTGCGAGAAACTCGCCTACCTGTTTTTGAACAGTAGCAGGGCTGATATCAGCAAGCCGATCGGCAACCTCTCCCCCACCAAGCCCTGATTCACGTAGTGATAGCGTTAACGGAACGCAAGGGTGAGTGAGACCGTTTACATAGAACGGAGTAAAGCCTGTTGAGGCATGAACAGCGTTATTTAACGCAAACTCAACAACAGGGAGCATTGAGCTCCAACGCCTAGGCGTATCAGCGCAAATACTGCGCAAAATGTCGTTGATGACGCGGTTTACATGCTCAGTTTGACCGTCGGCCTGCGGATGATCCGCTGTGGACATGTCCAACCGAGTGCCAAGCACCTTGAAGATAGACTTCCAAAACTTCCCAGTGAAGCGGGGGTCTCTATCAGAGATAATTGCCACAGGCAAGCCATGTTGGCGAAACACACGGTCGATAAACAGCTTTGCTGTACCTTCAGCATCGATGCTATCCGGCACAGCCGCTAAGTGAGCCATCTTGCTCAATCGGTCAACAAAGACCACAATACCAGTGTTGCCTTCCGAATCTTTCGGTAGGCCAAACACAAAATCCATGCTCATGGACTCCCAACAACCAGTGGGTACTGGCAAAATAGCCAGCGGCGCCGCCGCATGTGCCGAGGGTTTAACCCGTTGACACGTTTCGCACGTACGCACATAGGTGCGCACCCACTTATAAAGTTTGGGCCACCAATAACTTTGGCTCACCGAGCTATAAGTCTTCTCACGACCGAGATGACCACTTAAAGCAGTATCATGTGCCTCATAGAGGATTCGATACTTTAATTCCTCATCATGAGGTACAGCGATACGAGGCTTATCCTCAATATCCGTGCGATAGCACAACAGGCCATTATTGATGGAATATCGATGTAGCCTCGCACGTAAACGTGCCGACAATTCTATGTCCGAGTCTTTAAA